TCTCTCCTCCCGTGTCCTTTAGGTGGCTAATGATGGTTATGGTGTCTCCTACATCATTGTTGGTGAGAACCTCATCAACTTCCACATCTCCAGCAAACACTCAAGCCCAGAGACCGTAAGTTCACTAGTTTTCAGTATTTACAGACAATTTAATTTTTTCTATTTCTTTAGGAGGCTTTTAAAAATCTTCTTTCCCCATTTTTTTTTGCTTTATTTCAGGACTCCCACCGTTTTGGCACCAACATCAGACAGGCCATGCTGGACATACTGGCTCTCTTCCAGCTCGACAACAAAGCCAAGTGATCGTCCCCTCTGTGGGTGGAACATACATGAGAAGTTGTTTTTAGCAAAACATATATTCTTCCTAAAGCTTGTACAGAATCAAATGTTGGATTTTGGGTTATTTTTTAAGTTAATTGATTTTACAGAAATAAGGATGATTTAGATGATGATATTTGGAAACATTACTGTCAATATGTGTGTGTGAGGCGTTCATGTGTACTGTATGTATAGGCTAGGTGAGATTCGGGTGGTATGGGGTACAGGTAGTGCACAGATCAAAGTTTTTATTTGCAGGACTGTTCGCACTGGTGCCTTAGTGACCCACTAATGTAAAAAGGGCAGAAAGGGAGGAGAAAATCTGAGCCTCTGTAGTCTGTTCAGTCTGATCAAGTCTGTATAACCACAGTAACTGACATTTCAGCCGAAGGATTGTCCAGTAGCATCATCCAATATTTGCACCATGTTTATGTTGAGATGGTGCAATATTCTTACTAGTTTTTGTCCCAGTGTTGAAAATCTTCTGAATTCATGTTGTTTTTAGTTTTTTTTTTTTTTTTCCCCCGATCTCCTCAATTGCAGAACCTCATGTAACCGGCAGCAAACGTGATGTTAAGTGCTATCAACAAACTGCATGTTCCGTGGTGTCCATTCATTTCAAATGGCTCTGTATTTAAACTGCTACTGAGTCTCATTCGCTAGGCTGAACCATTTTATCCAGTAATCTTCTACCTATGGAAGCCTGTAGGAGTTGAGCTATAATTACAAGAATTGTAAATATTCAGCTTAAGAAAGTGAACCCGTGTCAGTGTGGTTCTGGATAGCAACACACAAGACACGGAGCAGTTGCCGCGGTCTATCAAATGGATCTTCGTTGCCTTTCTGACTCAAGTGCACAGGTAATATGTTTGTTCTTTTTAGCTGCCATGATTTGATTAGCGCCGAAGGCAGGTCGCGTTTGTGTGTTTGTCATTTTCATTCTCAGGTTTTACTAACTTGGCCTAGTATTCAAGGGTGCTGGCTACAGCGTTGGAAGGTTAGTGCTTATGTGGACGTGTACGTGTGTAGCAGTAGAAGAAATTGAGATGCAGTATAATGTCTATTATAATAATATAATCTATGTGACTCAGATGGGCTGGTGGGTGGGAAACATGAAGTTTGCTGTAAAAGTGAGGGATTCGCGAGACAGGTTGTGTGTCTGGGGTGGATCTCACTTGCACGTGTTGAGTTTGATTGACATTGTGTGGCTGACAACTTTTTTCAGTTTCTTGTGTTTAAAAAAAAAAAAAAAAAGTGGATTCTGTATTTTAACTCTGTTGTGCACTCCATGACTGTTCCTTTTAGTGCTAACCAACCAATTCCTAAGTACCCTGGTAGCCTTTTTGTCAGATCAAGATGAATTCTAAACTTTAATGAGCAAACTGTTGAGTTGACAGTACCAGCATAGTGATGTTGCAGCTGTCAAGATGAGGTACACAATCGGTTAATAGGTTATTATAGTATGTTAGGAAATTGTGTAATCCTTAGAAAGATGTAGTGGGGCTGTCATGTGTAGGAATGCATTTCTGTTATGTATATGTTGTCAGTTCATCATTATTAATTTTTTTCCATGTTTTCACCACTTTATTCAAAAAAACAAAAATGCATATTTACTAGTTGAACGTGGCGAATGATGAGCATTAAGTTAAAGCTTTGTTGTTCAAGAAGTGAAACGGACAAAATGGTTCCTTTTTTGACATGACAGTTTTATTACCACAGACTTTGCCAGTATATTGTAGTTGTATGACTTTTTATCTCAGTAGACCTCATGTTTACACTGCTGCATGGTTTTTGAAGATGAAGCTGTATATCTTTGCTTTTAATTTAAAGATGTGTAAAAAGAAAAGCAGCTGATATACCAAAACAAGTTTTAACAATAAAGTGAATGTCAGACAGCTGTATCAACTCTGTGTTTGTCATCTCTTACTTATAATCTGTATACACTGTATTTGCCAATGCCATGGGTGATGTAAACACTAAGACAATCACATTTTGGATAAATATGAAACCATAAGTCAATTAATAGATTAGATTGACAGAAAACAGTTTTATAATTGAGGAATTTGTTTTTCAAGCAGAAATGTTACCATTTCTCTTTTTTCAGCTTCTCAAATGTGAAAGTTTTCTGTTTTTTCTGAATATCTTTGGGTTAAGTTAATAATTAACAAATTAAAACAATGGTCAACATGCTCACAATGTCTGCTTTTTTAGTTTTATGTAATGTTGACCACATTAACCATCTTAGTTTAGCCTGTCAGAGTGCTACTATTTGCCAGTTACCACTAAAGACAAAGTTCAAGCTTTT